GTAGGAGAGCTACTTGCTTCTGTTGTCTTAATTTCTTAGCCTTTTCGTTATTTCAAATCTGCAAATTTTACTTTTAAGTGAGCTCAAGATTTAACCTTTTTCTTCTAGGGTTCTCAATAACAACCTTCTGTAAATCCGCCATTGTTGTTCTCTCTACTACCTCGAGGAATTAGGGTTTAAGATTTCTGGGTGGTAGATAGAATTGTTCTTTAAAAAGTGTCGCTTTTTCACCAAAGAGGGGAAAAACCCATTTTAAATCTCTTCTCTGTGAAAGACTTGTGATTTAGGGTTTTAAATGCATGGATGGGAGAGAAGCAATGGCATTTCCAGGCTCGCATTCTCAGTACTATCTCCAAAGAGGAGCCTTCACAAATCTCTCACCTTCCCAGGTCGCGAGTGGGCTTCACGCGCCGCCGCCTCCTCCGGGAATGAGGCCAATGTCAAACCCTAACATTCACCATCCTCAGGCCAACAATCCAGGACCTCCTTTCTCCATGGCCGAGCACAGGCACTCGGATTTCGGACACAGTATTCACATGGGGATGGCTTCGTCTGCTTCTACTGCGGCGGTGCAGCCGCCTCTGCCGCAGCTGCCGCCGCCGATGGAGCCACCGATGGTTAAGAAGAAACGTGGACGGCCGAGAAAGTATGCTCCTGATGGACAAGTCTCTTTAGGGCTTTCTCCTATGCCTTCTTCTGCTAGTAATAAGTCTAAGGACTCTTCTGCATTGACTGATCCGAATGCACCTAAACGAGCCAGAGGTCGACCTCCTGGAACTGGAAGAAAGCAACGCTTGGCTAATCTTGGTGAGATCTCAAGTTTTTATATGTAAAGTGCTTAGATCTTATGCTTATGTTGAAAGCTTAGATGCTAGAAGTTGTAGATGATTCTTCTGCATTGTTGGTTTAGCTCTGATGTTACTGCTAATTGACTGATTCATTTGCGTTCAGATGTGTGTTTAGATTAGCAATTAGTCGTTGGAATGTGTCTACTCAATAGGAATTCTTGGTTAAAGTCTCAAGCTTTTTATGTACATTGTGAAGAACATGAGCCTGGCTTGACCTTGTGCTCAGAAAAAAGTTAAATGGTAAAAGCTATAGAACTTATAGTCAATTCAGGTTGTTGCTTTTGGCTCCGTTGTGACTGCTACTCAACACTGATTGTTTTGTTATAAAGCTGTGAAATACTAATTTGACTTATCCATGTGTGGTATAATCTGTGTTTTAGATAAGTAATTGGTCATTACTCAAAATAGTATGAAACTTAGTCATTGTAAATTTCTGATCTTTTGACTCTGTTGATTACTTTAGGTGAGTGGATGAACACTTCAGCTGGACTTGCTTTTGCACCTCATGTCATCAGTGTTGGAGCAGGAGAAGTAAGCTCTCATTTCAATAAAAGGATTCTGTTTATTGACAATCAGGAAATTGATTCATTATTGCAGCTTTCATTGTATCTAATTCCTTTCATTTTATCACAGGATATAGTGTCGAAAGTTCTGTCATTTTCGCAGCAAAGACCTCGAGCTCTTTGTATAATGTCAGGCACAGGAACAGTTTCTTCAGTCACGCTGCGCCAACCCGCTTCAACAGCGCCTTCTATGACATTCGAGGTTTCAAACTGGCTCACTCCTTTGATTAAGAAAAAAACTAAAAACCTGGAAAACTAAAGATTCTTGATTAACCTTTCTTTGTGTTGTTTAGGGACGTTTTGAGATTCTAAGTTTAGGTGGTTCTTATTTGGTGAATGAAGAAGGTGGATCCAAAAGTCCAACAGGCGGTTTGAGTGTCTCTCTTTCTGGTCC